CGTTCGTGCATCTTGTCAATTTCTCTGCAACATTAGTCCACAGAAATCCTAAATTTTCTCCTTGATCCTACTTTCCGCCTTTTCTGTCTTTCACCTTATGTTCAACCAAATGGGCAGCCAAAAGACAGAAACCAAAACCGGTGCACGGTATTGCATGGTTAATGGTTGTACAAATTGAACTGAACTGAACATTGGAAGGAAATAAAATTTTCAAGAGGAGGTTTCGTAAACGTTATCCGAAATTCTTTGTAGAACCTTTGCATTGAATAATAATCAGTGAATTCATTACAGCAGCCTTCCGACTTAACAGCGATTTCACCTTATCAAATAGAAAATAGGACACAAATGTGACTTGAATATTTTGGAACAGCTAAGAGCTCATTGATACACAAAGCTCATATTGTAACAGAAAACGAAAGTTTCATTGCTGAGTTTTTACCTGACAAATCTGGAACCACTTTATCTAAATTAGGAATCAAAATATTGATTCATAAACATAGATGTTATTGTTTTAACTTATCTGGTATTTGACCAACTTTCAGCGAATAACTATCTCCTATCGTTTTATACCACGACAACATTAGCTGTTTTGATTGCTGTCAGGACGAGATTGAAATTGATGCACCGGCTGGTCAAGCAATTGGTTTTGTGAAACAGACCTTAAGCGGTTGCGATGTTCGTTTCCACGTTCTTGACATGCATCGGAATGTGGTCTTACAGATACGTGGACCAGCGCACTGTTTATTTCCCATCTATGGGGCCGACGTTCACTTCCCGGTATGTTGAGTACATTTTTTCCTACTCATTGCGTTTGGCAACTTTTGTCTGCAAGTAAGCATAATATTGCAGTCTATTTGAATGTTCAGTGGTAAAACTGGATGCACTCCATCTAATAAAATAATAAAAGAGCCGTTTGCCACCTTTTAGAACTGAATTTCACAACGAGTTCGGTTAAGCAATTCAAAGTTTGATGACGGATGTTGTTGTCCATTTCCATCAATGGTTAATATGCGGCTTAGTGCTCTAGTGCTCTGTCTTCATTGCCTCATTCTTGTTGAATTGTGAGTAAGGCCGGTGAAATAATCCAACCAGTTAAAGTGAAATGACTTCGGAAGCTATTTGTTGCCCGTGATGCGTTTGTCCGGTGATTCGTTTGGAAGGGTTTCCCTCTGAGACCCGCTAAATAATAACCCTTCGATATAGAAGGCTGCATTTTTGTAGACTCTAAACCCCCACTCTATTAAATTTCAACAGAATTCCATCTGCACTCCAAAAAATCATGTTTCAAGCGTCAACTGATTGGTTGAGCAAACGGACTGGGTAAAATCTAACCGTAAAACTATTTATTCCAATATACCATTTAAATTATTTTTAAAATTCACCTAGATATAATAGATTGAAACCATATTATGTAAAATGTCAAAACATATTTTAGCTTTATCAATCAGACAGCTTTGACCGAATGGAAAACACTTTCAACACTGATTCGTCGTCCCAGTGGTACCTGTCTGGTGAACAACAACTCAGCTTACACAGCAGAAGATTATAATACTTGTATATCCCCTTTATTTCGAGCTTGTTGAGAAGCATTTGAATTGTTTTGGATGTCCCTAACACGTATGAACATATTAATTCAGTGTTCCACCAGAATATCACCGAAAGCTAGACTTAGACTGGTTTGGTCCGAAACTTCATGTTCTTAAATACTTCAAGGATTTGCATCACTCCCATTCCCATTTTTTCCATGCATTGGGCAGTATTCCTTAAATTTTATCACAGGCTTTTTAAATAGATTGACAATGTTCTACTGTGACAAACTTCCGCTTCTTCTTCTTCCTTATTTTACTCAACTTTCTCTGTCGATAATCTTTCTCAAACTTGCCTAATCTGCCCCCACTCGAGCCTATTTTTGTGTGCAAATAATTGTCTTGTTTATATTATTTTTCACCCTTCATTTTATATAAAGCTCACGATAACAAATATAAACTCTTTACCTGCAGTGAACTCCTTCAAATATCTTATTATCAGTCACTATATACAACACTCTTCATTGATCAACTAATATTCATAGCTGCGTTGGTAAACAGCATCGTTATTCCTAAATTGAGAACTCGAGCTGTCTTTCTCCATTAGTTGTTTCCACTTTTATGAATTGTTGTTTTTCTCTGTTTCATTCCTTTAGCTCTTAGTAATTTTCCATGACCTACTCGGACTTTGATTCCGTGGTTTTTATTCGTGTTTACCTAATTTCCGTCATTGGGTTCATTTATGTTGTTAACTTGTAAGAGAGGATTCTTTCAGAAGCCGAGTAAAAGCACGATGCACTAATATAACCCAGTGTCGCTTCTATTCATTCACACGTTCTGAATCCCGATGAGTACTACATGGTATAAGAATTCATGGAAATCTCCTCGAAACCCCACTTGTTCATGCACTCAGTAAAACACAAGGAAAGCGGATCGCCGTGACCCCAAAAGGTTTTACTGTTATGTATTTAATGCAACGGTTGACATGTTTGGTCGTGACTAGCCGAAATACTAGCCGCTGTGCTTGCATACATTAAGGATACACACAATATACCATTCTCTATATTGACGAACCTTTGTCTAATTATGCAGATAACTAATGTTCCAGATCATTTTGTCATAACAGCCGATCAGGACCCCGGGCGCTGATTTGCTGAGAGAAGCCGTGGGTTGCTTATGTTTGGAAGTGGATTTCTCCTAATAGTTGAAACATTTTTTGAGGGGAATGAAACCGCCTTTTGGTACGGAATAGATATTCGCTGTCCATAATCGGGGCTTCTAAGCTGATGTCTAAGGACAGTTATTTTAAATTCATACCCAATGTTGATTGTGTCATAAAGGGGAGGCGTTTCACTCTTAGCTTAAGTTATGTGGTTATCTCGACATATTCATACCTAATCGTTTAAACCTTTTTGGAACAGAACCTCCCACGACTTTCTAATACACATCAACCCACGCAGAATCTAGATTTTCCCAATTGAACCCATTTCATAGGCCTAAATGCAGAGCGTATTTTATGAAACATTTGTAAGCAGAAGAATTATCAATACGTTTTTATTCATATGCTTTGCATTTAACTAAGTGAATATTTCTGAGATTCTTGGGTAAATAAATCACGTGCTGATGTGCATGATGTGAAATAGTTAGCAAAATCATTAAAGTATTTCTTAAGATATAACTCACGCAGTCAGAACGAATCACAGCGATCACTGCAACGGTAAAGTACCTTCATAGACTAGTTCTGTTTTGCCGTTAACCCAGAGTAACCGCACTCCATATCAAGATCACAGTCAATGAGACTAATGCACCATCATGAAATGCATTATTTTATTGGAAATTTCATTAATATACACCTGTTTGCTACAACTGATAGGTCATTTTAGTCTTATAAATAACTTTCACTGCATTATGCGCCCCAATTGCATTTATTTTTAATTAGCAGATTTCGTAAATAAAATCATAAGTGGAGATGCAGTGAGAAAACCAATTGGGCAATCGACAATGCACTTGAAATGATGGAATTGCAGACCTTCAATCTATTGCTGAAAAGCTCAACAAAGTAATATTTTTTCAACTATTGATTTAATTTCAGCACTTCTACACCTTTTCAACTTCAAGTGAATCCGTTGTAACTTCAAGAGGATCCAAACAATCGCATCCCATTGGAACCCCATAAGATGATTGGTGTTTCGGCCGTCAAACGTTAGCGATTGGAC